CCTGGCTGGGGTGTTGTGCTGACCCTGGCTGGGGTGTTGTGCTGACCCTGGCTGGGGTGTTGTGCTGACCCTGGCTGGGGTGTTGTGCTGACCCTGGCCGGGGTGTTGTGCTCAGCCTGGCCGGGGTGTTGTGCTCACCCTGGCCGGGGTGTTGTGCTGACCCTGGCTGGGGTGTTGTCCTTGCCCCTGCAGGCACGGGGAGCACCGAGGCCCGGCGGGAGCAGCAGGAGAGCGGCCAGGAGAGCAGCCAGGAGAGCTGGGTGCAGCGCATGCTCATGGCCCTGGTGGGGGACAGTGCCCTCTTCAACACCCGGGAGGGCCGTGCTGGCAAGGTGCACAACTTCATGCTGGGGCTGAACCTCAACAGCTGCTACCCCCTGTCCCCTCTGGCAGAGCTGCTCACCCAGGAGTCCGTGGAGGAGGACGAGCTCGACGCGGCCGTTGCAGGTCAGTTCACAGACAGTGCTGGGTGTTCACACCAGGAGGTTTATAAAAGCCTGTACCTGGGAGCAGGAGAATGTTCCTGTGAGGATTGACCGACAGCAGAGGTTGTGAGGTGACTGGGGGGCTCAAAGGGCACCATGCAGTGACTTGTGACTGCTGCCTCCCTCCCCTGTCCCCAGCCAGTCCCTTCTGGAGGGACAGTGGCTCTCTGTTTGGAGAGAATTGCTGGCAGAGGTGACCAAATTGCTTTTGTGTAGGGTGCCCTTCGTTACATCCACTTTTTCACTCTCTTGGCCTTCTCCAAAGGGTGTCCTGTGTTGTTCCATCTCTTATTGATGAGATAAAACCTTTCCTTGTTCTCCTGCAGGGCTTCCCTGTTGCCAGAATTTTGTAACTGTCTTCTGAAAAATGTGTGGGGGCAACACACTGCTGCACTTGTAGAATCATAAAATCCCCTGAGCTGGAAGGGACCCACAGGACCATCCAGTCCAACTCCTGGCCCTACACAGACACCCCAACAATCCCCCCCATTCCTGAGAACTCCTGGAGCTCTGGCAGCCTTGGGGCTGTGCCCACTGCCCTGGGGAGCCTGATCAGTGCCCAACCACCCTCTGGGGGAAGAACCTTTTCCTGAGATCCAACCTAAACCTCCCCTGACACAGCCTGTAGATCCTTGCTTTGCTGGCACCATGTTCTTCCCAGTGTGGATGCACCTGACCAGCCACTCACATTTCTGTGTGACTGATGTGCAGATGTTTCATGTTGGCTTAAGCAGGAATGCAGATGGAAGAGAAGAATTTCAGAAAAATATTAATTTGCCATAGGAGTTCAAAGTCTTCCCCCACTCCACGGGTTACGTGGTGTTTGGGACAGTAGCTGTGATGTGAAGAATTAGGGATTTTGTTTGATTTGGATTTTGAAGCTTTGCTGTGCAGTGTTCACTGCACCCTTCTCAGTGACAATCAGTTCGTTTCCTAGTATTTTTCTGACGCTGTTGTGTTCACTGGAGGTGTTCAGGGCCAGGCTGGGCTAGTGGAAGGTGTCCCTGGGCATGGCAGGGGGTGGAATGAGATGATCTTTAAGGTCCCTTCCAACTCAAACCATTCCGTGATTGTTTTCCATCAAACTGAGGAACTGCAGCTCTCTGAAGGTCGTGTTCCTTCCGTGCTATAGCACCACAGCTCTCCCACCCATCCCCAGTAACAATAGTCATCACTTCAGCCCTTATTTTCTGCTCAGAGGTCGTCCCAACTGCTCCTTCTGCAGCAGTAAATACCAGATGTCATTTACAAGCTCAAGTAGCAGCCGCGCTCTGATGTGTATTTGTTAATGTAACAAATCCCTCCGAGTGGCTGGATAGTCATTTCCATCTGGACTCCACTTTCTAAATATTTTTATCATCTCAGAGATGTTTACAACTGGGTAGTCTTAATATTTATAGTAGTTGTAAAAGAGGCAGGAAAGCGGGTGGGAAATTTTATGGTTGGAAAAAATGACAGTCGATGAGAATTTTGCATAATTAAGACGTGTGGATAATGTTCGGAATCAACTATCGACTTCCTGGGGTTTAATTTCAATGGAAGTAAAATTCTGGGTTGACAAAACAAGCCTGCACCTCTGAGACAATTACTTTGGGGTTAAAATGTGTGGGAAAAGTTTCACATAACAGCAGTTGTTTTAGTGTCAGCTGAAGCCCACGCTCAGAAAGCTGAAGACACAAATCTGACAGCTACGAGTAGCTGCAATATTATAGTCAAGAATAGTTAAAAACCCCTTGAAGCTTCAGCAGTTACTGTAAAATTTAATCATTCAGCGGTGTGATAAGTGTGTCTGCACTTTAATGCTGTGAATTTTCCTTGCAAGTGCTGAGGAGCCCAGAGGAGCAGATAGAAAGGAAATAGATAGAAAGGAAACTTTGGTGTAATAGAAGTATTTTAAATTTACCAAGGCACTGGATGCATTTAAGCTTTGCATATTTATTCTACCACTGGCAGTTTACCTGTCAGCTTGAGTACAGAGAGAAGTCTGTAATGCTTTAGGACTGACTTTCCTTTATTACCAGACATTCCAAAGGAGAAATAAGTGACTCGAAAAGGATATAAATAATACTTTACGTCTCCAGTTGTGCCAGACCTTCCCAGAGGATGAACTGTGGCTGGCCTAAGCTGATGTTACAGTCATTCCTAAGATTGAATTTAGGGGCTGCAGTGCCTGCAGCAGAAATCCCAGCTGCTTGGTCTGGAAGTAAAACCCTTGGATTTGCTTTTCTGTAGATTCTATTTATGCTGAATGTTTCCTTATTTCATCTCAAAAAGCTTCAAAGCTTTACACCCCCCTTCAATGATTTCATTGTGAGCTCAGAGTTTATTCTGTTTCTTTACTTGATGTTACAACACACCAAAGTGACTTGAGCAAGTGCCACGTGAAAACAATAGGGAAAAATAACCCCTAATCTCTGCTCCTTTATTTCAGTGTTTATGGAAACTGTTATGGCAGATGCACGTCAGAAGCAAATGCCCTTTTCATCTCCCATATTTCCACTGGAGCTGCTGTTTGGGACAAATTTGGTCTCTAGAACATGGTCTCTCTTTTTATTTCCAAACAGTTCTTATTATCTGTCTCTGCATGAGATAAACTCATAAGTTAAATTTCTCCTGTAATCACTAAAACCAATCTGTGGTCATTATAAATTTATTGATGACATTAATTAGATATTTGGAGGAAACTCTTCCCTGTGAGGGTGGGGCACAGGTTGCCCAGAGAAGCTGTGGCTGCCCCTGGATCCCTGGAAATGTCCAAGGCCAATTTTTGTAAAGTAAGAAAAGGCAAAACATGAACAAAAATGTTTCCACAATTTTTAGAAATTCTATGGAGAACAAGGATTTAATTACTTTTGAAATGTCTTTAAACAAGAAGAGGAAATCAAAACTTCTCTACTTGTGCTAAAAGGAAATGTATTAAGTGTATTTTTACCATTTTTTTTAATTATGGTGAATTTGATAAATACTAATTTATTTTCATAGATTTATGCTAAGTCATTATTATGAAATATATCTGGTTCTAAAATAGGGCTACAAACAGAACCCTTTTGCAATAGGCAATGATTTAAAAGTGTTCTCTCCCTTAGAAATCAAGGCAAATAGTAGAACAATGGGGCCTCATTTCTTAGAAAAGTGTCCTCTAATAAATAACAACAGAGATAAAATTGAAAGCATCTCTTCTGAGATTTTTTTTGCTGCTCGTAGGAGTAAATTTTTCTCACGGATCCTGAAGTGATAGGAATAAGAGTTTGAATTATTTTGGATGGATTTTCTTCACTTTAAAATGTCTTCTTTTTTTTTTTTTTTTCAGATTACTTCTGTTGCAAATAAGCAGGTGCTGGGAAGTTTAATTACACCAGAAATAATTATATTATCCTACCCAGCATTCCTTAGATCACACTGCCCTCTACAGATACGAGCATTAGTTTTCAGTCAAAAAGCAAAACCACGCACTGGAAAAGATCCAGAGCAAGAAAAGACCGTCATGGGAAAAATTTTGAGTCCAGCAGGGATTGTTTAGGGGCATCCAGAGACTTGGATAAGTGCAAAGAGACTTCAGAAAAATCAATTGTTTTTTTCCTGAGCTGCATCCAGGGAATATTGGGGTTACAGGGGAAGCATCATCTCCTTCAGCCCTCAGCTGGGCTGAGAGAGGAGGCTGATTTGTCCCACACTGAGACAGCACTGGCAGGGAGTGGCTCACAGGGAATTCTGCTGCAGTCTGAGATATGGATATAGGTCACTATTTCTTTTTGTTCCTGGTGGAGTAGTGAGTTGTGAGGTCATCAGATTTGGTGTAGTTGGAAAACAAGACTTGGTAGTCCCAGTGTAATGGACAGAAGCAGATGGTGGACAAACATCACACCAAAGCAGAGCCACGTCGAGGCTTCTTAGGGGGAAGAGCTGGGGAGGATGAGGGACAGGGAAAGGGAACCTGGGGGAAGAGGTTTGGGCAGGGGTTACAGGACACTGAGGGGATCACAGGACTGTTAGGGTTGGAAGGGACCTCAGGCATCACCCCCCCAACCCTCCCCCCACCAAGGCAGGGTCACCTGGAGCAGGGGACACAAGCAGGCATCCAGGTGGGTTTGGGATGTCTCCAGACAGGAAGACTCCAGGCCCTCCCTGGGCAGCTGTTCCAGGCTCTGCCACCCTCCATGGAAAGAAGTTCTTCCTTGTTGTGTTTTAGCTTATGTCCATTGCTGCTCATCCTGTCTCTGGGCACCACCAAAAAGGGTCTGGGACCATCCTCTTGGCACTGCCAGATGGGCATTTGGATTCTGTCTGTTAACATCCCATAAACTCTCTCCTTTGTGTGTGAGCTGATGGGGTGAAGGTGGGAAGGCTGGGATCAAACCTGGCCATTTGTCCCCTTCAGTGTTGCCTGGAGCCATTTCTGTGCATTGGGACAGGGCCCTTCCAGCTCCTTTTTTCCCACCTCATTCTCCACTTGTTAAGAGCTTGAGTTACACTTGAGTTCGTGGTAAGTTTAGCTGGGGTGTCCTGTACATTTTAAATCCTTTGCAATCTCCAGTCCTTGGGGAAACACTGGAAAGCCCATCAAAACTTGAGTTCTTAACTCGTATGTACTGGGGGTTTTTTTTGGTTTCCCTGTGTTCTGCACAGATCCTGATGAGTTTGAGAGGATCTATGAGCCACTGGATGTGAAGAGCAAGAAGATTCACATTGTGGACAGTGGGCTGACATTTAACCTGCCATACCCCCTCATCCTGAGGCCTCAGAGGGGCGTCGATCTCATCATCTCTTTTGATTTCTCAGCAAGGCCAAGTGATTCCAGCCCTCCTTTCAAGGTAAGTAAGACAGGCCATCCCCTCCTTTGGGGTCAGGAGCTCAAACTGACTCAGTTGTATTCTTCCAGTCATGTTGTTCCCACATTTCATGGTCCCAGAAGGTGCTGCTGTAGCTACAACACACTAGAATATTTCTTTCCACATCAAGCAGAATAGTGCCCTGTGTCTCAGTTCCTGTTTACATGGCACAACTGACACAAAGAAGGCTATTTCAAAGGAAGGAAATTCATTTGAAGTAGTTGTTTTTATGGAAATTTTGCTTTCATGCTGATTGCAGAGTTTTATTTTATGTCAGTATTAAACAATGAAGTCAGTTGTCCTTGCCCTGGTGCTCTAACTCTGTCCAGCTGCTCCCTGTGTGCTGTGATGTAAATGAATGTCATCATCCTGCAGAAATGCATCATCTTACTCAGTCTGGTATTGCTAAATAAACCTCTTGGAAGCAGGGCTAGCTGTCCATTTACATCTCACTGGGATCATCCCAGCACTGGTGTCAGCAGGATTCTTAAATCCGTTCAGGCCAGAGCACAAAGGCACCAGAAAAACAGGGAGTAAATGACACGGTTGTTTTGTGTGGCAGGTGTGGAAAGCACAGCTGTGCCTGTACAACCTGTGTATCCACAGACCTCCTTCTCATCCCAAAGGCTTGACATGGGGTCATTTTGGTAACTGAGACAGAAAGAACAGCACTTCAGAGGCTACTGTGAGGTTCTCACTTGGAGATACGCTTTAGTGGGCACAGTGGGATTTGGTTGAAGGTTGGACTTGATGATCTTGGAGGTCTTTTCCAAACTCAGTGATTCTGTGATCCTCAAAAAAGGCCATATTTATTTCAAAGAGGATTTCAAAAAGAATTTTCAAGGAAGCCCAGAAAATATTTCTGTTTGAAAAACAACTGACGTTGCTTGTTGCTTTACAGACAAATTCCAGTTGGAACAAACAGATTATTTTTTTCCTTCATCTTAATATTGAGGATGTTAGAAAATAACAGCAGTAGCAAAATGAGCTCGAGATCAGTGTTGTCAAATGCAAAGACAAACAAGTTTCAGGAGAATAAAAAGGAGTAATTTCTGTAATCTCTAAGTCTCTTGGGGCTACTGCGAAAAACAGAGCACTGAGAAGACTCTTCCTAGTGCTGAGATCCTTAATTCCTTTTTTCCTTAATTCGCTGAATCCCAGAGTGTTTCTTCCTTTAATATTCTATTTGCATAAGAATATATCTCCTTTTTTGTCATGAATATTTTCCCCATCAGCTAAATTTGCTGACACAGCACTGCCATCTTCTCTGAAATCTCTTTTTCCTCCCTTTTTTAACATTCCACACGTGGACCCTGTGCAAAAGGCTGTGTATGGTCATCCCTGTTACTCTTACCCTACACATTGAGCGCTGTCTTTATCAGCAGCAATTTTTTGTGTCGTTTTGGGGACCATGGAGAGAGATTGGTTGGAACTTCAAGTGACATCCGGAGGGCTTTTCTCTAAACTGTAGTTTTAAAAAGGCAAAAAAATCCTTTGATACAAGAAAAAATGGTGGGAAAAAGAAATGATGCCTTTGTTTTCCTGAAGCCACTGTTGAAGGGGATGGAGTGTTGTTCCTGAGGCACAAAGAGGTGTGGAAGAAGAAGAGATGTAGTCCAGAGGCAGAGGCTTTGTGTTCATGGTTTCAAGGCCAGGAACCAGTTGTGTTTGCTGGCTGTGTGTCCCACTGGTTCTGCTTGCACTGCAAAGAGCAAATGCCACTTCAAGAGTGGGCCTGTCTCTATGGTAGCACTAATATTGTGCTTTGCTGGGGAAATTAGCCAGCTGAGCTCAGTGACTCCACTCTTGGTTTATCATTTTGCACCCACTATCTTTTAATCTCCTGCGTATCTCAGACAGTTGCCCAAAGAAGGGTCCTGTTTCTTTGAAAACCACGATTAAAGTTGTTGACCTTCCCTCTCCTCCCTCTCACACGCCCTCATTGCATGCTCTTGAGTCATTGTTTACAAATTATTTTGTTTACTGAGTTGTCATGAGGAAGAAAAAAGCCTGTTTTCCAGCTCTCTGCACTCGGTGTGCTTTCAAACGCCGCTCTGGGCTGTGATGTGACTCTGAGCACAACAATGCACGGCCTGGTGTTTGTGAACTCTCCTTGGTTTCCATAGTGCTGATACTCCACTTGCAGGTCAAATTAGGGATGGTTTTCCCTCTGTAAAGTCACTCCAAGATTTGTGGGCCAGACCAGCTCTTTGCCTGCCATGAATCAGCGCTGGTGGTGGAGACTGAGAGGCTGAAGGAGGTGCTCAGTTTGCCACTCTGGGTCATCAATCAGAGACTGATTTGATCAGTCCTTCATATCACAGAATCATGGACCTTAAACACCATCTCATTCCATCCCACCTTCCACTAGCCCAGGTTGCTCCAAGCCCCGTCCAACCTGGCCTTGGACACTTCCAGGGATCCAGGGGCAGCCACAGCTTCTCTGGGCAACCTGTGCCAGGGCCTCCCCACCCTCCCAGCCAACAATTCCTTCCCAATATCCCATCTAACCCTGCCCTCTGGCAGCTTGAGGCCTTTTCCCCTTGTCCTGTAACTCCATCCCTTGTAAACAATCTCTCTCCATGTTTCTTGTAGCCCCTTCGGGCACTGCAAGGCCACAATTAGGTCACCCTAAGCCTTCTTTTCTCCAGGCTGAACAATTCCAATTCTCCCAGCCTTTCCTCATTGGAGACATGCTTCCTCCCTCTAATAATCTTGGTGCCTCCTCTGGACTTGCCCCAACAGCTCCATGTCCTTCCTGGGCCCTGAATAGTTTATTAATTGCTTCTACCAACCAGTTTGCCCCATGTCTCTCTCCAAACCTCCTCACTTTTCAGTGGATGCTTTCATGCACCTGAATCCTTGTATCTCTTCAGGAAATTCTGCTGGCTGAGAAATGGGCTCGAATGAACAAGCTGCCTTTCCCCAAAATAGACCCCAATGTGTTTGACAGAGAGGGCCTGAAGGAGTGCTATGTGTTCAAACCAAAGGACACCTCTTCAGAGAAGGACTGTCCCACCATAATCCATTTTGTCTTGGCCAACATCGACTTCAGGAAGTACAAAGCTCCAGGTGAGCACAGTTTCTGCTGCTGAATCCCCGTTCCTTTGGAATGCCGTGGTGGTTATGCACCACAAATGTTTTGGCTCTCAAATAACTCCCAAATGCGTCTGCAGCCCTGAGGGAATCCAAAAGAGCCATTCCAAAGTCAGGTGGTGGATGATCAGACCTAACATTTCTGTGGTGTTTTTGTGTTTGTTCTGTGCAGGAGTTCCCAGGGAAACACAGGAAGAGAAGGATTTTGCAGACTTTGACATTTTTGATGATCCAAATACACCTTTCTCTACCTTCAACTTCCAGTATCCCAACGAGGCTTTCAAGAGGCTCCATGACCTGATGGAGTTCAACACCCTCAATAACATAGATGTATGTTGGGAGGGTTTAAAGGTTGTTCAGTGGGGGAGTGGGTGATGTGAGTAAAACCCTAAATATTCCATACAGGCCTTTGCTTCAGTGTTTGCCTGACTTTCTCATTTGGTTCTTGTCTTGTTTTTGCCATTTCACCATGCCAAACCATTCAGAGTAACTGAGCAAAAGGGGCTTTGGGGAGTGGAGACAAAATATTTAGGATTGTATACTCAGATTTTTAAGCACGTTGATTTTTCTAACTGGAAAAAGAGGAAATTGGAAATTTCTTTATCTGTTGCTGATTAAGATCTATTACTGATTTCTTTATCAGTTCTACTTCTAACTCAATAATAATTATTTGTAATTGATAGTAGGTGCAACACGACATAGTGATCCCAACATCTGCAGAGTGAAAAGTGTAAATGATCACCCCAGATAAAGACAGAGGGAGGGGGTTATCAATATAGTAAAGAAAATGGTTACATCAGGACAAAGGAAACAAAAGCAAAGATTTAATCATTCTCAATATTTATTTTTTTCTTTATCCTTTTTAAAATAATAATAATTATATTCTATGATTATTTTTATATCCTTCAAATATGGATTTTCTCAATGCTTTGATTTACCCTTCTGAATTTCATTGGGACTCAAGTATAAATGCTGTATTTACACTGATTTTTTTTTTTTTTACACACATATTTTTGTGTGACTTCTTTGACATTGATGGCCTCCCTCATACCTATATTAACCACATTAAAATCAGTTTTTTATACAGTCAAGTAAGAGGGATTGATGAGTTTTATTAAAAATACTTTGTTCAGTGGTGGAGCAGAGTTAAAAATGGAAGCAAGAGTTGTTCCCATCAGAAGGAGCTTTTTCTGTCAGTTAATAAATATTTGTTGTGTGGCTTTTTTGACATTAGTGGCCTCCCTCATACCTTAATTAACCACATTAAAATGAGTGTTTTATCCAGTCAGGTAATAGTATTTTTAATGAAATTTATCATTTTCAAAGGAGTTAAAAATGGAAGCAAGAATTGTTATTATCAGAAGGGGCTTTTTCTGTCAGTTAGTAAATATTTGTTATGTGCTTTGACATCAGTGGCCTCCCTCATACCTTAATTAACCCCATTAAAATCAGTGTTTTATCCAGTCAGGTAATAGTATTTTTAATAAAACTCATCATTTTCAGTGGTGGAGCAGAGTTAAAAATGGAAGCAAGAGTTGTTCCCATCAGAAGGGGCTTTTTCTGTCAGTTAGTAAATATTTGTTGTGCGAGTTGACATTGTTGTGTGACTTGACCTCGTACCTTTACTGACCCCGTTAAAATGAGTGTTTTATCCAGTCAGGAAATAGCATTTTTAATAAAACTCCTCAGTGCCTTTGCTCAGTGGTGGAGCAGAAGAAGGGGTTTTCCTGTGGGTCCATGCCTGTTATTCCCTGTGTTGCAGGTGATCAGGGAGGCCGTGCTGGAGAGCATCGAGTACCGCAAGGAGAACCCGTCGCGCTGCTCGGTGTCCCTGAGCAGTGTGGAGGCCAGGAGGTTCTTCAACAAGAGCCACCTCAACAACAACCACACGTAGAGGCCGTGCCAGGGGCCTGCTCCCGTCCCTCCAGCTGGAGCCACAGCCCCTCCAGCAGCTCCTCACCCGCTCCTCGGCACGTTTCCTTGGGGCTTCTCGAGTTTCAGTGTCATTTTGTACTGCTGGTTTTTTAAACTAAACACATTTCAGTGTGCTGGGATCCTGATTTTAACAGATGTGCAATTAGGGGGGGTTTGTCTCGAGATCATCGGGTTCAGGGTCTTTTTTTTTTTTTTTTCCCTCCCTTATAAAATTGTAAACATTGGTTTCTTTTGGGTAATTCATTTTTAATTGATGTAAACTGGGCGTAGCTTGAAAGGTAGGATGGGATTAGAAAGAAAGATTGAAATCCACCTTTCTGCTGTTTTAACGACGTCTGTACCACTTAGCAAAACCCCAAGCCTCTTACGTTTTCTTTTTTGATCCTCCAAATTGCATTGCTTGAATCCTTGAGCTACTGGCACCTGCCTGTTAAATTGTTGTTAGTTTGTGTATTCCTGACCAAAATGTTTATGCATAACTTGAGAGTGGCTTTTGCATTTGACCATGATTGAACCATCACATTTCTGCAGAGGGACAGTGGGAATGTTTACTGGGGCTGGATAAAATGTGCCCAGGTAAGAATGTGAAGTAGTTCTTGTCTTAAGGGTTATTTGAAATAATATTTTTGAGTCCTGTAAATAATAAAAGATGGTGCAGAGCCACAGATTGTTTCAGTCCCATCTCAGCAAGTGTTGAGGTAACTCTGCAAACGCAGTGGCATCTCCAAAGGCTTTAATTGCTAAAATCTGTAAGTCCACGGGAAGGGAAGTAATTAAAATGCATTTATTTTAACAGCCACTGCATCCCAGAATCCTGGAATGGTTTGGGTTGGATGACCTTAAAGCTCACATCGTTCCACCCCTTGCCATGGGCAGGGACACCTCCACTATCCCAGGTTGCTCTAAGTCTACATGCAGTGTTCTGTGATTAAATAACATTTTCTGCATTGATCAGTAGGTTTTATTTCTGTTTGAATTAGTGCATGTTTAAAATCAAGCAAGAAAATGAAAGTAACTTGTCTTAGTGCTGCATAATTTAAACATTTTCCATGAATTTCGGAATACAGGAAGGAACTGGTACCATTATATTATTGTAATATTTTCTTTTTAATGTTATATTTCCCTTTGGGAATGTAATATTTGTATTTTTTTATTTTATAATATGTACCTACTCTATTTTATGGAAGAGTTTTATCATGCTTTATACAGTTTGTATTATCACAGAGTTATCAGACGATAATGAATAAAACTATATTTGCCACCTGCTGTTTTCAGGCAGTTTATTTTGATAATTTCTGTGATATTTGCACTGTTATTGTTGAAGAGATGTGGAACAGCTGGATGGTGTGGGGCAGATGACACTGTGGGTAATGGGTGGTGGGTCTTTGCTGCCTTTCATCTTGGATTTCTTAAAAAGCAGGGGAAGAAGGGAAGTTCCTCCGGGCCTGTTTGGATCCAACAGCTGATTCTGGTCATGAAAAGCAGGAGCAGGTGCTGCTGTGGGTTGCAGGTACATCAAAACTCGTGGTCTGGACTGTCTGGGGAGGGGTGACAGTGTCCCCACGTGCACTGAGCTCTCGACCCGCCACTGCTGGGACCTCTTGGGCTTGCTGGTGTGGGGGTTCCCCCTTTGTCTGTGTGCCAGAGCCCCCCTTCCTCTGCTAAAATCATTCAAAACCCCTCGTTCTGAGGTTTTGCCCAGAGAAGCTGTGGCTGCCCCTGGATCCCTGGAAGTGTCCAAGGCCAGGTTGGAGCAACCTGGGCTAGTGGAAGGTGTCCCTGCCCATGGCAGGGGGTGGCACTGGATGGGCTTTAAGGTCCCTCCCAGCCCAAACCACTCTGGGATTCTGTGATTTTTCAGACATTAGAAGTGGTTTGGGCTCCCCAGAAGCTCCTTTGTAAATTAATAGCTGTGATTTCACTGCAGTCTGCAAAAAAAAAGCCTCTGTTAAATCTGCATCCATAAATTTCAAATGGAAAAATCCATCTCTGTATGATCAGAAACTTAGAAAAGGGTTCTTATTTTGTTCTTCAGCAGAGCAGAACACTGGGCCTTACAGCCTTAGCCATACTTTATATTAAAAATAATGTGAAAAGAGGGGAATAATGCAGGAAAAAACCTCTTCTGACACATGATGTGAAGCCAAACACGCAGAGTTTTCCCTTGGCCTAGAAAATTAGTCCTTCATTTCTCATTTCCCTCCCTTCAGTCCCTGGTCCATCTGGTTTATTCCTGCAGTACTTTTTTCCAGCCAAGGGTACAATTCCCTAGGAGGCAGTAAAAGGTGGGTTGAGAGAATGAGTTATTTTGGATGTCAGACCTGACTTAAGGTGCAGAATGTGGAAGGTGCTTTCTGCCTCAAGGGTATGGAAGTGCCCCCAGGCAGGCCTGGAGTGAGTGGGAAGGACTCTGTGGTAGGTAAGCTCAGCTCTGCTGGGCTCTGTCTCACACTAAGCTTGACCCTGGGCTCATGTTCTTTCCCTGGACCTTTTGGCAGGCTCCAGCTGCTGGGATAGACGTTGGGAATCTCTGCTTGCCTTTTTCTTCACCAGCAGATGCTCAGAATAAAACCCCCTTGACCTGACAAGTGTGAGGGCACCGGAGCATTGACCTCGTGCTTGCAGCAGTGAGAAGAAAATTCCTTTTGGCAGGGGATGGTTCCACAGCCAGTGCTCTTCCTCATTCCCCTGGGCATGTTTTGTCTGTGGGATGAAACTTGACCAGTCAGCTCCTACTTCTCTGTGGATGCTGATTTATTTTTTTGCTGGGATAAGCAGAGGTTTCAAAGGGTGAAACCATTCCAAGGCTGTATTAGAGAGCAGTTTGTGGAAGGGCTCCCAATGTGTGTCATTTTTCTTGCTCAGTTGCTGAATTTGTCAGTTATCATTGATCAGGAACAATTCCTGTCCCAGAAGGATTGTGAATTTAATAATGTCTCCAGATTATTTTATTTAGTCTTAAAAGATAAGCACAAAGAACTTAGATGCAATGTGCCATAAAACTCAGTTTTTCCACAGCTTCCTGTTCATTCTCCTTGTTTAGCAACCAAAAAAGGATATTCCTCCCCCACTCCTTTTGTTGGGGTCTTTACTTCACATTTGGGATGGAAAGATAATAGTTCCACAGCATCTCCCAGGTGTCTTCTTGGACACTTGGACTGTAAACTGGGTTACGAGTTTCGGTTGAGTTTTATACTTACCCTGAAAATATAATTTAAAAAATGAAAAATTTTCTTGCTATATATTATAAAGACTCCTCCAATACATGAACTGCAAGGTGAAAGAAGCACTTGTGTTTACATAACTTGTGTTTCCTGAAGCTGTAAATCCCCCTCCCCATCACTCTTACTGCTGTGGCACTCACTGGGACATGTTTGGGTAGGGATGTGACTCATCCCATTAAGTTCCATCCACCAGCCCTTCTCACGAGAGGTGCAAAGGAGAGGCTGTCAGGAATTCCCCATGGCAACACAAACATGACACTGCTGTGCGTGCGAAGGGCAGGCACTGGGGCAAGGAAAGGAAGGGAGAATCCTTAACAACCTTTAGACAAACCAAAACCCACGGGACTGGATGCAATAGGAACAGGAATTCCTTATGTGGCCATTTAAGCCCCACGAACTTGGCTCAAGCAGAAATTTGGCAGCACAGGCCAAGCTGAAAGACTCCGGGTCTCTAGGTTTTATCAGGAAATGTCTGGGAATAGAAGTGCCAAAGCAGGCACTCCCAGCATGAGCTGGGGGGGATCCTGGTGTGAGAGGATAGACCTGGATCTCAGGGATGGCACAAATACAGCTGGGTCCCAGAATGGGTGGGGGCAAATGAGGGGCTCTAAGGGGAAGCCCACTGTGATGGGCTGGGTGGGAGGGGTGTCTGATGTCTGCACAGTGGGGGACCATTCAGCAGTGCTTGGGACTTCTCCGTGGTTCCATCTTCACCTGGAGTCAGCAGCCCCATTCCTGAGGCCATCCCAAGACCTGCCAGAAAAACCTCAGCGAATTTAACACAGCCCAACTTTGTACTTTTGCCTTTAATCAGAAAAATGCTCTCCCAGTGCATCCTCCTTGAAGGCTGTGGCCAAACTGGTCACAGAAACCCGAGGACTATGAAGTGATTTTGGCTTTTGGGTTTCCCTCGAATTCTCGTCCAGATGTGTATTTTTAGCCAAGTCAAAAGTGAACAGGGAAGAAATAGGCAACTCTGATCTTACTTTGGGTGTGAAACTGTAACTTCTGCCACTGCAGAACAAACTCCATCACTAAGACTGCATCTCACAGACCTGCAAGTGTCCAAGGCCAGGTTGGACGGGGCTTGGAGCAACCTGGGCTACTGGAAGGTGTCCCTGCCCAGGGCAGGGGGTGGGATGGGCTGATCTGTAAGATTCCTTCCAACCCAAACCATTCCATGTTTCTATGATTCTAAAGTGATACAGTTTGTTGTCATTTTGTAATTCAGCTTTATTTCTGTTCCCCATCAGTTTTGGTTTTGATGGAATGGTGAGGATGGATGGCTGGGCCAGCACTGAGTGCAGGGGATGGGGCTTGTGTAAGTCAGGTCAGGAAGCACTGAAGGCGAGGAGGAGGCACCTTCTGCATCCCACTTGTGCCTAACACATTCCAGACGTTTTGTTCAGGGCGTGTGCTGGAAAACACAAACCGGAATCAACGTGACGACTCTAAAAGAAAGCGGGGGGGAGTGTTTTGCCAGCGTGTTTGGGAAGCACAGACACTGATGCTTTGCAGCTGTGGATTTAATGCCATTCCTTCTGGTCTGGTTTCATTAAACCCCAGGGATTTGCTCCAGGACATTTCTGTGTGACGGTCAGACCCTGTTTATCTAATCCTGACAGACACAGACCCAGCTCAGAGAGCTGAGGTTGGGTCTGAGCCGGCGGGTGTGGGTGTGAAGGTCCCTCTGCCCATCCATAGCCCCGGGGCTCTCCCTGTTGGCTGTGAACTGTGACTTGTTAGCCAGTGGATTGTGTGGTGGGATGAGGGATGTGGCAGGAGCAGAGGCTGAAGGGAGGGGGGTTTGAACCCAAAATGGGACCTGTGCTCTGGGCTTTCCCCAAAGCTTGTTTCTGATGTCCCGCCCTGCCGCTCACAGCTGAGGATTGAGGCTGGGAAGGATCAGCCCCCGGCAGCCCGTGCAGGGTGAGCACATTCCCCTCGGTCCAATAAAGCTGGTGGAAAACACCAGTTAAGTAGTTTTGCCTCCAGTAACCTCTCCCTCTTTTGAACTGATGCTTTTTTGTCCTTGCCGAAGCTCCTCTTGCAAAAATAGTGGTGGCTGAGCTGGACAAACATGCACAGAGTGCACAGGAAGGTGGTAACCTGAGCCTTGCATATGGACTTGAAGAGAATTTGCTATTTTAAATTTTATTTCCTTTCAAATCAGAACGAGGAAGCAGAGCCCAGTAGTTGGACCGGGTCTAAACAGCTCAGTTTGGTGAAGTGTTATTGTTTTGCCCCAATGTAAAATCCCAATGTTTGTGTGACGAAAGCAAACTCTCCTGCTCTGCTGTGTAATGTAATAAATGTCAGAGTGAAGGATTCAACTGCATTGAAATGGCTTTTCATGATTGCTCAGATGTTGTAAGATGCACTTAACAAAACTGTGTTGGCTTAAAAGATGCTACTGAATCACAGTTTTCTGATGGCAAATCCTTGCAGTGGAAAAAGCCTTTACTCATATTTTCCCAGTTCCCTGTGTGGTGGGACACCAAGGAAAAAGCTCTTGCAAAACACACAAAACTTCATCTTATGAATCCACAGGTAAGAGCCAAGCAACGGTATTTTGGCGTCTAAATAAACACAGGTTGCTTAGGAAAAATAACAATAATTTGAAAATCCGACTTTATCTCCCGGGAGAAGGAAGAAACAGTGCTCAAGTGCCTTCCTAATGCTTTGGGTTCTCGGGAATTCACATCCCACCCAATTCCCCCTTGCTCCCGTGGGCTGGGGGGCTTTAGCAGAGTGATGGGATCCAGAGCAGGAAGGGCAGTCCCAGGGATCAGTGAGCTGCTCTGCTGAAACCTGGGCAAGTTCAAGCCTCCCCCAGCACACAGAGGTGATCAAGCTCTTCCCCAGGTGCTGAATGCTGTGATGTATGAGCTCACTAAATGGGGATTTAATGATTCCTGAGATTCCTCCTGGATGCACAAACACACTTTTTGCAGGACATTAAAACCCCTGAGCAACTTGGTTGTCCCCCCAGCTGTGACCAAATCAGTCACATCAGACACAATCAGCCCA